ATGAGGTCGCATTTGGCTGGGTGTGCTTGGGGAGGGCAGGCTCGGGGATGGAATGCTGCGGGTCCCAGCCAGGGAGCACTGCGCTTCATCTTGATGAAGATGAATTATGATTAGCAGTGATATATAGCCTTACTCAGCACCAGGGTACATGTGTGCGTGCTCCCTTGGCTCACACACACACACACATGCTGCCTGTGAGCTGCTGGCAGTGGGAGATTTTGATCTGAATTAGTGATAGATGAGGCAGCTCACAATGAACAGTGGAGGGTGTGGGATGGAGGAAGGTGTAACCAAGGAGAGACCCTGTCCCAGCTGTGTGCAAGTGTGCTGCATTTCTCACTGTGCCCATGGTTTCAGTAGAGCAGGTGAAAGCTTACTGCCCTTACCCTCTTCCCCTCTTTGGGTTTTTGGGGCATGAGCAGCCATGGGGACAGAGTGCAGTGTGCAGGGACAGGGACTGCGGGGCTCAGGGGAGTGCAGGGGCTGTGGGAACATGTGAGGCTGGTGACCTGAAGGTAATGGAGGGATTATCAGGCCCTTCCTGGGGGCTTTGAAGTAAGCCAGTGTTTGTCTGGAAAAGCTCCTTGCAGTGTCCACTGCAGGGCTGGGAGCATAGGGAGGTCATATATGGAGCAGGACAGCATCCAGTGGAAGCCTGACATGAGCAAAGCCTTGTTTGTCTTTGTTATGACAAAGGCTTCCAGCTGCTAGGAGAAGCTCCATCCAAGGTTTCAGCTGGCCAGGGGTTCAGCAGACCCTGTTGCACAGATCTGTGGGGATTCTTGCTTTCAATTTAGCCTGTGATTTGTGTTTCACCAAGTGGAGAACAGAGATGACCTTGATTCCAATTCATATCCTGCATAATAAATGCATGCCTTGACATGGCTGCAAGCTGCATCCCAGGGCTCTGCTATTCATCAGGAGAAAATCACACAGCCACACTTCCATGCACGCTGTTATTAGGTTTAGAGTTGAATCAATCCAATAATCTTACTTTTCATTTATTTTCATTGCAAGTTGCTGAACAGTCTGACTGCCCTGTAAAAATACCTGAGTGATGATGTGCAGCCTGGAGGGGACTTTTTTGTGAATTTGGTAAGGGACTGACTCAAGAATGCAGGAAGAAAAATCCTTTCTGTGTTGCCTTTAGAGTATTCAGTAGATTGCTCAGTTTTATAACACTAAGCTTTTACTTGGAAATACCCACTTTAGCTTGAAACCAGAAGCTCTGACAATGACAAATCCATTCACAGCAGATAGGATCTTTACGGGTAGAGTTGCAAGTTCCATTCCCATCTGCTGATAGAATTATCTCCATTGTGTCCCCACCCCTTATCTGTCCCTCACAGCAACATTTTTAGTGTCTGTTTTTCCCCTCAGAAAGCGGCAATGGGGGATTATTTTAAGCTTCAATTGCAGAAGCAGTGCTGCCTTTTCTTCTTCTTCCCCCTCCAAGGCCAGATCTGCCCCTATGAGACATCAGCACTAGAAGCTGAAGGCAGTCTGGTCTCTGATACCTGTGGAAGAGCCTGCTTAATCCTTCTCTAGTGGCTTCCCCACATTTTGGTATGGCTCAGAGTCCTTTGGGGGATCACAGGTTCACATCTACTCCAATAGGCTGATTTTAAATCAGCTTATTAACACTGTTTTCTTATCTTCATGAAATGCACATGCTGCTTTTATCCATTGCCACTAGTTTTGTCTGGCATGGCTGAACTGCATTTGGAATGAGGAGCCAGAACACAGAACTGGTCACTATCTCATTGCACCCCAGGCGAAGGTGGAGACAGAGGAATGCCAGAATTGCAAAGCCTGGGTAGTGACTCAGTCTAGAAACAGATTTTACCTTTAAAGCTGTAGCTGTTATCTGTCTCTTAAGTCTTACTCAGCTCTCTTCTGGGTTCAGAGAACATGTATTTGCCATGCTTTCACCTGAAAAAAACCTTTTCCTTTCCAGGTATATTTCTGTATGTGATATTAGATGGAATCCTATGATCATCTGTGTAAAATAGAGTCACAGAAGTTAGAGGTAGACATGGTTTATGATTCTGTTAATATACTTAATCTAATTCTACTTTAATGTCTTTAATGGTCTACCTTAAAAATATAATTAAAAAACATTTCCGTTTTTATTTTGATACTAAAAATAGCATGATTGCTGTCTCACAAACTGGTGATGCTGGTCATGTGAAATTAAAATCCATGGACTGGTAAGGAAGCTAAAACACCATGCTTAAAACTCAGCTATATCTGGACATGTCCACAAAGAGTATGAATGACATAAACAGTGTTGTGCAGAATAAGTATGTGACTTAGGAGGCAGTATGTGTTTTTCTGGGAGAGTTGTACACTATCAGAATTTCAAATCTGTTTTTAGACTGAATTTCTAAACAGTCAACTTCTGAGAAGGACACAGAACAGAGTAATACTGTGCAACATCTTCTCTTGTGTATGTTTTGTTATTTCGTTTTCTTTAAGTGCATTTCTGCATTTCCTGCACACTCCTGTTAAAAGAACAAGGGAATAACAGTATCTTTTGTATTCGTGCAAGAAGTGTGTGTGTATGACTATAATGTTCACGCTTAAAGGCTGGATTATGCCAGTATTTGGGGGTGGAAAGCCCCACTTATTGCAGGAAAGGCTTTTTCTGTTTGCTAGAAATGAAGCAGGAGGGGATTAGTTTGTCAACGGAACAGAAAGTTTCACTTCGCTTCTGAAGAAGGTCATTGTTTCCCTATGTGGAGTTTGGTTTTCTTTCAGCATCATATTCTTTACAGTATTCTGCCAAATGGAGGAGCCTCCAACAGTCATTGATGAACCCCTATGTGCATGTCCAGGGACAGAGGTGGACTTATTTTTCTGACTTTTAAATTAATATAGTGGATATTTTTCTCAGCAGAAGACAGTGTCTGCTGGTCTGGTTTTCTCTTACCCAAAAAAAGAGTGCAGGAGGGGGAAATATGGCAGGATTAATGATGCTTTTTGCTAACTGGAAAAAGCCTCTGAAGTTAACAACAGCTGCTGTGCTTCTGTTCCCTCTTGTGTGCCCAGGCTGGCCTCCAGCGAGGACACCGTGACCCCGGGAGCTGCAGTGTGGCACTGCGTGTATTTGACAAGCTGAGTCCGACACTCAGTGTGCAGAGTGTCAGTTTGTCAAATACCCCAAGTGAGGCACTGCTGAGCAGCGCGACGCCGAGGGTCCAGCCCTCTCCTCCTGCTCTGGCAGGCTCGGCACCTCTCCAGAAACCCACCGAGGTACTCAACAGCCCATCCCAGTGCTCCAGAACACCTGACGGTTCCTGTGCTGCCAGGTTTCCCTTCCACCTCGGTTTTGGAAGTGTCTGTCCGGGTATCCCTCCCAACAGTAAATTAGAACAGAAGTTAATGCTGGTGCAACTTCTCTGCACTGTGAGGACAGAGAATTGTGCCCTGGGTCCTTGTTCTTTGCATGCAAATCCAACGCTGTTCTCTTACACAGCATTAACTAGCCAGTTGTAAACAGGGATCCTGGCAACTATAATCACAACATCATGGGTAAAGGCAGCATTATCCATAATAAAGGATCTTTCCTTTGCACATGTAGTAATCTTTTTTATATGGAGTACAAACTAATGAGGCTGCTCATTAACTTCCCTCTGGCCCATTAGCCTGTGAAAATCCCTGTTTGCTCAATCTGTTTTAAATTAGGCCATGGAGTCCCCTCCTGGGAGCCTTGCTGTTTGGAGAAGACTTCTTGTCTGTGGATGTTTTGGATGGGTGGCTTTTCTTTTGGAAAATCCTAGTCAGCACTTGCAGCAAGGTTGCCTATTCTGCTATTTAATTAAAGTAATTCCCTCTAAATCATCCAACTTGAAGATATAATGATTGATAAGTGTTTTCAGTAACTGACTTGTAGCGTTTCAGATATGTCAGGGTAGGGGAATGACAGGGGCAGCATCCAGCCCAATTTGACAAATCAAACACTCTGAAAGCATTTGACACGGAAAACTACATAATAAAAAAACCCCAAGACCCTACTAACTAGTTTTAGGACCGTACCACCAGCAAATCTTGCAATATTTGAGAGTATTAATAAACTTGAATACTAAGCTTTTGGGCTTTTTGTTGCAGCTATGTCTTAGTAAATATTTTGAAGAAGTTGGAGTTTGTACAAAGCTGGGACCTATGAATGTATATCATTGCCTAAGCAAATTGTGTTCTGCTTTTTGAATAGATTGTGTACTTCTGGACAAACATGGTCCACAAGTGGTCAAGAAATGGCCCTCCTTATATGACTCACACTCCCATGGTCTCTCTCAAGCACCTCCTCATGACTCACACACATCACCTTGATCTTTATCACTGAAGTTAGCTTCAAAAGAGAGCAAGGTCTGTGATTTCAGGCTTTGCTTTGTCCCCAGTGAATCCTGCATGAAGCAATAGCCATGTCAGCCCCAAGCCCTGCTGTCACTCAGACCTCAAGGTTTCAACAGAACCAACCTGCCTTGCACCACAGCTGGCAAAGTGTTTGTTTATGCCCTTCATTCTTGTTTTCTCATGCATTTCCAATTTTTGCTTTCAGTAGTTTGCCCTCTGCTTTTTAGATAACTCTCCCCTTCAGCTCTCAGATCCTTCCAGATAACTGGGGTGAAGGGGAAGAAAGTAAAGCCCTTCCTCTCTTACTAGAACAAACATCAAATTACAGTGGGACAAATTTCTCCGTGACTTCATCTCCCTCCTCCCTGCTCTGAAGTATTGTACAAACCCAGCAGGTGTAAAAGCCAACAGGTCCCCTCCATGGGACAGGCAGTGCAAGGGGAACTGTGAGTCTCATGACTTTGCACTGGGAACTCAAGATATTGTGTTTTTAGGAGGCAGTGTCCTTTCAGGAGAAGCTGAGCTTTTCCTTCCTGTGTTCTGCAGCACAGCTCAGCAGATGAGCACTGAGTGAGCGACCAGTGCAAGGAAAGGAGAAGTTTTCTGGTTTGATGGTGATGCAACACAGCAAAACCCTCTGTGGCTTTCAGAAGAAAAATGTTCTGTTGCCAACAGGTTTTACTAGAAACATAGAAAACACACCAAAAGTGAAGAAAAGAAATAATCATGCACTTGTTGCCCAGGGAAAAGCACCTCAGCACTGGAGACAGGCTTCTAATGTTTCCACTGTTCTTCTACTTGTGGCCAAAGTCCTTTTGCTGCCCTAGCTAGAGGCATTGACAACATGGAGTACATGGGGGCTGGTCTATCTGAGGCATCTGCTCCCCCTTTCTTAACCCCTATTGCCTTCTTCCTCTGTAGCTTGTCCCAGGCTTCATATCTTCTGAGGAAGGAGTCCAGACCTCATCAGAGCAGATTAGTGCTGGGAGGAATCACAAAATGGAAAAACCATGGTGTTACATACTCAGTGAGTGAACCTGGAGCTCAGAGCTTATAACAGCAGGAAAACTTGCACAAAACACCAAGTTAATTGAAAATGAATGAGGATGATATTTTGGGGGAAAGGAGAGTACCATGTCATGTGTTTTGGGCCAGATATGCTGAGGTAAGGATAGGGAAGCTGAGAAATTTTCAGTTCCCTTCCCACCCAGCACTGACCTTGCACCATGTGCTACTGCCCTGCATGAGTGTGGCTGCCACTCCCCATTCCCCTCCTTTATTCTGCACCACCCCTGGCACTGCTGATGCCAGCAGCTTCTGCAGCATGGGGTCTTCAGGGCTGGCTGCCATGGGTCCCACAGGGACAGACTGGATCCTGTCTACCTCCCCGGAGCACAGCCTGACACTCAGTACAGCCCTCCCTGTATGGCTGTCACTGTGTTAATGAAGCCCTCACAATACAGGCAGGAGATTTTTTTTCTCTGATTTTGCCCACCTCCTGTCCTGCAGAAGAATCATCATTGCAGTTCAGAGCTGTAAAGGTGAAAGTGTGGCTCTACACAGCAGTCAGGCCACAAACAGCAACGTGACCCTGCTGTGAGGCTGCTGACCTGAGAAGGGACGATCCATGGCAGCAGAGATGAGCCTTGTGGGTGAAGTCAGGGCCAAGCAGGAGGGTGTGTGACCTGAGCTCAGCTGCTTCCCCATGCTTTCCTTGCTGCACCCACTGATTAAAAAAAGCCAGTAACTCTTACAGATTTGGTTTGCTAAAGCCAGGAGGCATTCCTCCTCCGTGCCAAGCCTGGAGGACAAAGGGATGCTGGCTGGAGGCACAGACAGGGAAGACAGAACTGACAGCAGCATTGAAGCACAGGCAAGATGTAAACAATTAACAATGACAAAGCAAATCAGGCTGCTGATTTGCAGCAGGGAATGCACTGCAGCTGAAGGCGGGAACTGCATCCACATTGCATGACAGTCAGCATTAGTAATCACACAGACTGACTTACATCCCACAGAGTAAATTGGTGTTGTATTCAGAGAGGTCCCTTACTCAATCATTATACAAATGCCTCAAATTTCGCTCTATTTTATCATGCTTCTGGCCCCCATACTCTAAAAATTAAATGCTAGCATTTACTTCAACATCACTTCTGGTTTTCCAGGAGAAAACCAGTAGGTGACAGTTCAGAGACTCATTCCTTTTCTCTCTGAGCACTGAGCTCCAGTCTGATAGCAAAAATGACATTCCTGGGACATCAACCTCCAGTGGTTCCTTTACCATGCTGTAACAACAAAAAAAAGACTCAAGGACAGGTGGGATGTACAACCAGTATTTGCTGAGTTGCAAAAGCCAGAGGGTCTCCATTTCCCGCACAGTCCTGGCTCCTTCCAGCCTTAACAGGAACACACATTGGAGAGTATCCCTTGCTATTGTTACTGACTGGCAGCATTGCACCAACTACTCCTGGATTTACATGCTAAAGAATTTCATGTTCTTACTCCTTCAGATCCTCTCTTCCTGCCCTCGGTCCTTCAGGTTGCTCAGAAACAACTTGCTCTATAGAAGTGGGTAGACAGTTGGCTGGGGGTTTCTGAAAGGGCCTGGTCTGCCAAAGACCAAAAGCAGCTCCTCTGGGTTAAAGCAAGCAGTGAGAGCAGAACAGAGGGACAATAGGAGGAAGAGTTTCCTTCTGTTAAGTTCACTATTCAGTACCTGCAGCCCTGCATGGCTGCTTACGTGGAAAAGCTGGTACTCTACTGAATTCCTTCTGTTTCATATTGTGATTCCATTGCAGTCACAAGGTTCTCATACTCAGGACTTTTCCTGTCTTTCACTGTGGTCTTTTCAATCTTAGAGCACTTTTCCTCGTATATGCTCTTAGCAGGGACTTCCACCTCAGTGTGCAGCAGGGCGACGTCTGCAGTGCTGCGGCTGGGACAAGAGAGACAAGAGTGAGAGGGATGACAAAAGCAGATGGCACTTCACTTACATCTTAGTCAGAGACAAGATCTACCACATAATCTGTGGAACAGCAAAATTCATATTATTCTAGTGAGGGCCTGAAGGGCTCTGAAAGACACCAGAAAGTGATGTTAAAAGAATTACACAAAAAGAAGCACTGGTTAATACTGGTACTAGAAACTCTTTTGGCATTATCATGTTATACTCTAAAGCTACCAGCAGACAGTCTAGCCTTTGGAAAGTAAATATCAGGAATAATTGGGAAAAATCAGATGGCTACAGTGTGAATCTGAGTAGGAAAGCAGTATGAAGGTGTTGAAGACTGAGATGAGGACAGGGCAGAAAATGTGTTTGTATAATCATACACTAATAGGAACTCTGCAAAGTAATACTTGGCCAAGCACTAAGACGTATTTCTTATAGAGAAAGACAAGAATAGGAAGAACTTAAAGGAAGAGCTGAGAATTTCTGTCCTTTCCTTTGCTAAATAATGGCGAGAATTTCCCACAGAGAACAGGTTTCCCATGGCTTGTGACAGGCAGAGCAAAGCACCCAGAGTATCCTTCTGTTTTTCTACCACATTAAAGAACAGTCTGGCTATCTCCTGTGACCACGTGTTAAGTCCTCATGTTTCTAACTAAACTGTCAAGGTGTTCAGATCATCCTCCTTCAAGGCAAATAAATCTTTGCTTTTCAATGAGCAAAGAGGTTTTTAGGAGCAGATACCAGTACAGTGCCCTCAGTCTTAATGTCCCAAGTAGAAAAGTACACTCACAAAGCAACTTCATAGAGAGGTTCTGGGGAAAAAAAAAAAACAAAAACAAAAACAAAATCTAAGATATGCATCGACTTATATGTCACAGAACAAAACCCAACTTCCAGGTGTTCCCACGTTTAGGGAATAACCCTCCCCCAGGCCTCCCCCTGGATGGGATCCACTGGGGATGGGAGTGACGGGGATGGGACTGTCCCGCCCGCCCGTCCCCTCCTCCCGAGGCTGTCCCCACCGCCGGTCCCGGCCGTGTTTGTCACTGCTCACCCTCCTTCCTCCGCCGCCGCCGCCACCAGCCCAGCCCCACCGCCAGCAGCGCGGCCAGCGCGGCTCCGCCCAGCGCGGCCACCGGCCCGTACAGCAGCGGGGACGGAGCGACCCGCGGGGAACCTGCGGGGGACACCAGGGGTTGTCACTGCGGCCGGGGACACGGGGACAGCAGTCCCCCGCTGCTTTGGACAGCCTTTCAATCCTAACCGAGAAGGTGCCGAGGCCACTTGTGGGTTCAGCCACTTCCTGGCAGTCACAGAATGCGGGGATGGTTTAGTTTGGAAGGAATCTTAAAGCCCATCGCGTTCCACGCCCTGCCATGGGCAGGGACACCTTCCACCAACCAGGCTGCTCCAAGCCCCGTCCAACCTGGTCTTGAGCACTTCCAGGGATGGGACATCCCTGCGTGGGGATGCAAACTTCAGCAAACAACAAATAAACTTCAAACAGCAAACTTCAGGTTGCAAACACCTCCACCAACAGACGTGTGGGCGGGAACCAGGAGCGCATCTCCTGCCTGGATAATGCCTGGCATCTGCCATGCCAGGGTTTGTTCCCTGCAGCCGTATCTGCCACAAGCACAGCAGCCAGATGTGGAGCTGGTCTGGGATGATGTTTGCCACCCTGCCCTTGCCAGTGCAAATCTGGTGGTTACCAGCAGGAGACTCCACTCACCTGTGTCTGTGAAAGGTCCCACTGGAACAGTATCCACCCTGGAGACCCGTGGGGTTGGGACCAGACCTGTCAGTGGAGAATGGTGGATGCATTTCAGCCCCACTGGGAGCTGCCCTGGGCATCGGGAAAATGAGGTTTGCTCTGCCGGCCTAGACTCACCTATTATCCTATTATCCTATGTGTGTCTTGCCAGGAGGCCTGGGGCAGCATTTGGCACTCGTGTCCCCCTCCCTGAGCATCGCCCCACAGGTTCCTGGCAGCACTGGCTGATATGATGCATCATGTCTGGCTACAGCATGGCCTGGGAATGCTTTGGCTTTGTCCTGCTGGCACTTCCCTACATTTCCAGAGGACACATTCACTCCCTCTCTCCTATGGTGACTCCCTGGCTGGCCTGGGGGACTTTGCCATCAGCTGCACCATAAACTCCCTGAGGTGTGGGGGCCTGTGCCAGGTCTCTTGCCCCAGGCGACCTCCCTCTGAAGCTCTGCAGCCTCAACAGTTCTGGTCCCAGAGGGACACAGATGACATTTTCTTGTCCTCTCCCATCATCAGGCACATTCTCAAACAGGGAGGGTGCCAGCCTCTGATATTGCCTCTCTGGGTAACAATCAAGATACAATTCATATTCAGCATAGTTCTCTGATCTGGCTATGGAAGAGCAAACTCCCTGCCTCGGTTTTCTCCTGCCACAGAGATTAATAACCCTGGCC